CCTGCTGAAGGGCAAGACTAAAGGTCACCTTCCTGAGCACTTAACCCAGCAGAGCTGGCACTCCCTTGTAAAGCTGCAAAATGTTAGGTGAAGTCTTTCCTCTCCAGCTTGGTTGGCATGTGGTTTAATATTTCAGCCTCCCAGTCCTTTCCCCACTTCAAGGTTCATCCCCTAGAAGCACAGATGGGAGTAGGAGTGCTGGCAATACTTCTACTCTAGGAATGAGAGCTAAAGGTCCAAATGGAGATCCTTTTCATGTGGGGTAAATCTAACTCATATTTACACTGGTGTAACATAGAGCAGAACTTGGTTCACAATGGGCCCGTCTACGTGAGATACTAAAAGCACAGTAGACTAATTCTACTGTGCATTAGTGTGTCATGGAAAAGCTGCACTAATGTGCTAATGCACAGTAGAATTGTCTACTGCACATTAGCATCATGTAAAAGATGTGCACCGGCACTACAGCACGGTATTGCCAATTATGGCACACTAAACTTAACGTACCATAATTACGATGCATTAATGCACATGTAGACATGCCCAGTGTCCAGGATACAGGAAAGTCCTGAAAAACCCCATCTAAACTTTAGTAACCTGAGACACAATACCAATTTCTGTAACACTCACCTGAAGGAACACGAATGGGTACTGGGGGGAAAAAAAAGAGGCAGCAACATTAGAAGAGACAAGCATACACCCTGAACAAAGTATAAGAAGCATAATGGGCACAGCTCTATTTCACCTTGTGGAAAACCAGACTACAGCTTGTGACAGACTCTGAGCTACTGGACTTAAGTGTGGGAGTGATTCCATTACTCCCTCAGGACACAAAATTGCCCCAATTATATGAATAGGATCACTCTCTGGAGACCTTCGCATAGACATCCCCACAACATTCTTATTAACAAACTAAGAAAATACAGACTAGATTGAAGTACTGTGAAATGGATACATAACTGGTTGGCTCATTGTGCTCAATGAATAGTCATCAATGGCTCAATGTCAATATGGGAGGAGGTATCAAGAGGGGTTCCCTAGGGGTCTCTCCCAGGGCCAATATTGTTTAATAGCTTCATTAACTATCTGGATGATGGGATTAAGCACACACTTAGCAAATTTGTGGGTGACACCAAATTGGGTGGAGTTGCAGACAAAATGAAGGGTAGAGCTAATCTCCAGAATGACCTGGATAAACTGGAAAAATGATCTGCAGTCAATCTGATAATATTTAACAAAGACAAGTGCAAAGTCTTTCACTTGAGACAAAAATAATTGTATGCATAAATACAGAATGGGGAATGACTGGCTCAACTGAAATACAGCAGAGGACCCAGGGGTTACAGTACAACATAACCTGAATATGAGCCACCAGCGTGCTCTTGTTGCTGAAAAAAAACAAAAAGGCAACAGCATCCTGGGTTGTATTAATAGTAATGTCACTTGCAAATCAAGGGAAGTGATCATTCTACTCTATTCAGCACTGGTGAGGCCTCACCTGGAGTACTGCGTCCAGTTTTGGGCCCATCCCTTCAAGAAGGTTGTAGAGAGTTTGGGAAGAGTCCAGCACAGAGCAACAAAAATGATTAAGGGCCTGGGAAGCAGACTTAGGAAGAAAGGCTGAAAGAACTCAGGTTATTTAGTCTAGAGAAGAGAAGACTGAGGAAGAGTTTGGTAACAGTCTTCAAATACCTGAACGGTGCTTACCAAGAGGATAGAGATGAGCTTTTCACCATGAATGTAGAGGGCAGGGCTAGGACCCATCAACATAGGATCATAGGAAAGTAGGGTAGGAAGGGACATCACAAGGTAATTTAGCCTCAAGCTTCAGCAGGGGAAAGTTATATTGTGGATTAAGAAGAACTTTCTGACCATGAGGGTGATCATGCATTGAAACAGGCTACCTAGAGAAGTTGTGCAATCACCATCCTTGGAAGTTTTCAAGAGCAGGTTAGACAGACATTTGGGTGGGATGATCAGGGATGATCTTACTTTAAGCTCGGGGCTGAACTAGATGACCTTATGAGATCCCTTCCAGCCCTACTTTTCTATGATCATATGATCTCCCTATTACTATAATGGGAGTATTTACACGCCCAGAATGGGTAACAGACTTGTTCCTACACAATAGTCAGGAGACTCAGAATTGGTCATCAGCTGCTCTTTAGTTATCCATTAGGTGGGATAGAATTCTGCCCAGGGACTGATTCTATTCCACCTCTTGTGCTTATGATTGGACTTATGCACCTAAATGCCATCCTATTCCACACAGCTCAAATCCATGAAAAACTGTTAATACTTCTTGTGACTCAATCTTAAGGGTCAGATTTCAGAGTGTTACAAAAAAAAAAAAAAATCGATGCATTAATAGATTGACAGGACATGAATAGGGTAGAATAGAATCACACGTAGGCACCTGAGTCCACTTATGCACCTAATAGGTGGGATAAAATTTGGCATAAGTATGAGCAGTTTACTATGTGCAATACTTGGTCTAATGATCAATTCTTTGTTTAAGGTCCAGCTGGTGAAATTTAGCAATTTTTTGAGATCTTTCTGGTAGGTCCCCACTTTCAGGAACTGGCAACACTACATTTATAAATGGATTATTCTTTAAGGGGCCCGGGCTGATTGAGCTGTGTCCTTGTTTGACATAGGCCCAGCCTGCTACACAATGCTGATCTCATAGAAGACTCCCAGAAAAGTACTAGCTTAAGAGAGTCCTCTTCCCGTGTAACACTAGGGTAGATTCCTCCAGGAAACAGACCTGTCCTCTCAGTACATTTGACAGGACACAGTGGTGCACTCCCACAAACAAGGTTCCTAAAAGCAGCAGCTGCAGCAATGTAGCCAGTAGAGGGAACCGATATATATTCAATAAAGACTAAGCATGTACAGTGCTTGCAGTCCTGGACAGCTATCTGATGCTGATGGATGGCCAACTTGTGCTGGTGGGCAGTCATCTTGTGTTGATGGGTGGTCATCTTATGCTGATGGATAGCTCCCTCCTTAATATAGGCAGAGCTTTGCACTTGGTGTTTGGACCCCACTGCCACTTGCTTTTAACAGTGGGTTATCAAATGTTATTCTGGGAGTTACTCTTCTAAGGTATTTACAGAACTTACAGAAGGGCACCTCAATCACACTGTGACTTTTTGCCCTTTACACAAATTATCAAAGCTAACAGATATCCAGAGTTTGGTGGTGGCTGAGTGCCTCTATGCACTGGCCAAGGCCAGGAGGCAGGGGGCACTGTAGCCTACTGTGGAAACCAGCCAGCCCAATCCCTGCCCAGGTGCTCCCCCTTCCCCACCTGCTGTCCAGTTGCAAAGAGCCAGCCAGGATTCATTCCCCAATGTGGGGTGGCAGTGTGAAGGCATTTTGGGGGCTGTGCCCCTCCCTGATGGTGCCATGCATCACTGGGAACCCTCTCCTGCTGGAGAGGGTCCTGCTTGGGATACCCCCACCACCAATCACAGCCCATCCACTCCCCGTCCCCTTCCAGCATAACCCTAGTAGGGAACTGTATCCAAATTCCCTAAGGTACTCTAATATAGAGTGCCTTCATTTACTACCTGATTTAAATGATTTAATGCTACTTTTTCATGTGATTGGCCATTTTAAAGTGCTCTGCAGCCATGCACATGTGTTATGCCATGGCTGTAGAGTGCTTTTAGGGGCCAGATCATGCAAAAAATGTCATTTCTGTTTGCACCACTTCAAACAGTTGACAGGCCAAGTCCATGCATGAATTGGGGGGATAGGAAAGCATAGAAGCTTGGGCAGGCTTGGCAAAAGTATAGGATTGGGATGTGAAACAAAAGGAGGCTCTTCAACAGCCACTCAGATTTACTTACCGAGTTGTTGAGTGCAATGAAGTCCTCGTTCATGGTCACAATACGAAATTTCACTGAAAGAGAAAAGTAAACATAAAGATTAATGAAAAGTTCAAGGAATTTATCAGCTTTCACTCCCACCCTGCTGCTATACCACAGCTGGTCTCCTCACACAACTCTGGTAGTCCTCAGTCCTGCCCTGCAGCCTCCCTACTCTTTCAGATCTTTCCTATTCCTGTCCCCACCCAACATATGCTCAGAGTATGCAGATGTGAGTCTAGCACACAGAATGTTATATAAATACATACAGAGATATTCACACCTTCATCCCAAGCACATTCATCAGCCAAAAGCTGTCTAGGTTTGCCCAGCCATGGCACGGCTATACACTGAAGCTATTAAGAACTTTACAGCAGCAGCTGGGATGAAACTTAGATCCTCCCACACTGAGAGCCCCAGCCTGTTTGACTAAACAAAAAGGCCGGTGGCATATAGCTGAGCAGTCCTGTCCATACTCAACAGAGGGCGGTAGGATCACATATAAAGTAGGTGGTATATATTGTATAGAGGGGTATCCCTTTTGTGGCATTTTTGGGCCTACAAAATGGAGCAATAATGTCAGGAGACTCTGGTGGGGTAAAGTTTCCATGGCGGATGGGGTGGTGGCAGCCTGGGAGCGTGGGAGGGCTGGGAAAGGATCCAGAGCACATACCCTGATTTCCCTGAACTAGTACAATGACCCTTAGGGGGCTCTTTAAGCCAGCGGAAATGGTCACCATCTCGAGACGGTTCTTATTTATACTGAAAGTTGACATGGCTCCAAGGGGTTAGAAGGCTGACATGGCTCCACGGGGCTCCAGTGGGCTCTTTAAGCCAGCACAAAAATGATCACCACCTTGAGATAGCTCTTATTTATACTGAAGGTTGACATGGCTCCAAGAGGTTAGAGAAAGAGTGGAGAGGTGGCAGAAGGCTGCCTTTGCCTTCCTTCCCAAGAGGATTTGTCCCAGCATGTGTACAGAACAAGGCAGATGAGAGCCACCTGTCTGTCCTGGCTTATAAATGGGTTTGTCCGTCTGGATGAAGGTGCTGGTGCCAAGCCTATGGATCAGGACCTTCTTTTCCTCAGAAATACTGATCCTGCGGCCAGTGATGAACAATTTGATGGTAGCAACCTCCTCTGTGCCTCCAGCTGGAGGTGAAACCTGTGTATGGATAGAGAGAGAAAGAGAGCACATGAACAGTCTCCTCACTTTCCCTTAACTCTGTGGGAAGAAGTGAGAAGAAGAGGGGAACAATAACCCCCTAGCTTAGGGTCACAGGAATGAAAACTCCTCTCCCTCTCTCCACACTCAGATTCAACTAGTTCCACACTATGTCACGTGGGAGCCCACAAGCCAGGGATTTGACCCCTTTGATTGCTTGCCAGGAAGAGATGAGTGATACCCTCATATTCCTCCATATAGGAGGTTTGGGGAGTCAGAGGCCATAAGAAACCATAAAGCTGGGAGAGGCATAGGGGTAGGTCTAACTGCCTCCACATGCTGACATCAGAGAGCTCGGGTTATGTTAGTTAGTCTGGAAGGAGAAAGCCAGAATGAGAAAATTTGTCCATGGCCAGCAGCCTCAATAAAGAAAGCACAGGTAAGTGCTGGCTCTTTTCTGGTGGAAAGCAAATTCCTTTCACCCTAGAGTACTGTAAAGATTCTCTGCATATGGTAACTAGCCCTGAGGGTGTCCTTTGTAGTTTATAGAAACCAACACATATGTTCCCATCAGGATAATTTTTGTTGCCCTTTGCATAAACTGAGCTGCTGCTGTGTTTCTTCCCCTGGGGAATGTCTCTTTTGAGCATATTTTAACAACCTAATACCTGTCCTTACAGTGGCAGGACACTGACAGTGCCCTCACCTCCCTGCTTTACCTCTGGCAAATGAAAGGGTGTTTTTGATGATTCTGTAATTGTGCCTGGTAGTTATCCATGAGAGTTGTTCTAAAAAAAAATTAAGAATAGGTTAGGCAAACTCATGTGTAACGTGGTGGAGATAGGGATGACTTGGACTAGATGAATCCCCGAGGTCCTTTCCAGACCTATTTTTATGTTATTCCTTACTCCATCACAGTACAATTCTCAGAGGATCTGGCACCCACATCACACACACCTTCAATGCTATCTGGCATTAATTAGTAGAGCTGCATAAATAATACATTTTCAAACCAGCCATGCAAAAAACAAAATAAAGCCTGATCATTTCACCAGAAATGAATGTGTTTCTTTTCTTCTCTCTCTCTCTCTTGTGTAAAGTAATGTATTTTGTTTTGATTCTGGACATTTTAACAAAAACAAAGGAAATCCGTAAATGAAAGGCTAACCTCTGAAGGGGATGCTGGTGCCACAGCTGTGTTTCATAGCTCTAGGTTAGAGCACTGACCTGGGCTCTGGGAGACAAAGATTCATAGATTCATAGATGTTTGGGTCGGAAGGGACCTCAACAGATCATCAAGTCCATCCCCCTGCCTGGGCTGGCAAGAGTGCTGGGGTCAGATGACCACAGCCAGATGCCTATCCAGCTGTCTCTTAAAGACCCCCAAGGTAGGGATGAGCGCCACTTCCCTTGCAAGCCCATTCCAGATTCTGACCACCCTTACCGTGAAGTTTTTCCTGATGTCTAACCTAAATCTGCTCTTTGTCAATTTATGACCATTGTTCCTTGTTACCCCAAGAGGTGCCCTGATGAACAAAGCATCTCCGATCCCTTGTTGCGTCCCCCTAATGAATGTATAGGGAGTCACAAGATCACCTCTCAGCCTTCTCTTGCAGAGGCTGAACTGGGTGATCCAGAGTAGAGACCTGAATTTGGGTCTTCCCAAATTTGGGTCTCTTACTAATCCCAACATTGAATGGTTTGGAAATGTCAAAGTAGTTCACTTGGCATTTCTGCAAATGAATTTTTAAAAATGACTGGTGCTTCTCTCAGTTTCTAGCCCCATTCACAGAAATGTTCTGCCACCTTAAAACTTCATTTTTCAACAAAAATATATATATTTTTAAAGCCCAAATTTCTTAACTGGCTTCTTCATTGTCTACTTCAGTAAAGACACTAAGGAAGGACTGGAGCCATGGACAGTGAGCTGACATGCTTCTCCCTGCAGTACATTCTTCTCAGACAGGGCGGAGGAAGTCTGGTGAGGTTGGTGAGTATGAGAAACCTGCTCGTGCTGTATCTGACCAAGGGAGAACTGCAGGGCAGTGATGTAAAGAACGGCCAGACTAACACCTTTTACCGGGGCTAGTGTCCACAAAGAAATGGAAATGGTGGAAGAAGCACAAGGGCTCTAGCTGTGGGAAACTCACCTGAAACTTGCTACACATAAAGCTTCTTTTCTGCTGAATCTCGTTGTGCACCAAGACATTGTATCCTTCAGACTGCTCTATAGACAGCATTGCATAGATCTTCTCCTCATTGCAGGTGATATGCAGGCAGGCAACTTGGACTGATGGGTAGTGGAGATCAGCAGGGATTACTGCCAAGTAATGTCTGCAGTAAGGAGGAGACAGCAGAGGAGAACATGAAGATTTGGACTCAGCGATTGGAAAGCACCTTCTTACCTTCACATTCCCAGCACCCCAGGATAAGGCAGTTCCATGTGGCTGTGTTATGACATATAGTAAGTAGAGCTGTGCGAAATTTTGCCAAATGTTTCGTTTCAAAGCTGTTTTGACGCGTTTCGAGCTTGAAACAGTGAAATCTAAATGAAACAAAAAGCATCGAAACAGCTTCAAAACAAAATGAGGGCAACTGAAACATTTCAAAAGTTTCTAAATATTTTGAGTTTCAAAGCAGCCCGGTGGCGGGAGGCAGGGGAGAGCCAGGACTGCGCTCCAAGCGGCTCGGCAGC